TGATCCATTTAAGAGCTCAGGTCTAAACTGCTAAGGTAGAGGCTCATGTGTTACAGGCTCCAGTGGTAGAAGAAAGTAGTAGCCTCGGCTTCCCATTCCTTCAGTGTCTTTTATGTTCCTAGGCTGGCCATGGTGCATTTCCTCAGAATAGATATGCTATGGAGGTGGATGTGATGGTGGTGACACCTTTTGGCTGTTGAGAATCCTACACATGTGCTATTTATTCAGAGAAACAGATTTGCAAGTGTGTTGTAAAGCAGCTTGGACACTCTAATAGTCCTTGCCTGTTATCGGGATCCTGCTTCCTCTTCAGAGTGTTTAACTCCTGTTTTCGGGTCTTGGGACCTAACCCTCTTTATTCCATCTTCTCTAATACTACTCCATTTGAAGTGGGAGCATATTTTTACTGGCTCCTTGAATTCTTAGGAACTAGCACAGTTTTGTGATTTATGACTACTTAATGAATTCGGTCAACTTTTGCTGTCTTTAAGCCATGGGTTTAAAGGGGTGAAAATTAGAGTCATCTGGGGAGTTTAAATAACATATGTGTCTGAGGTCTCGTCCCTGGAAATTAGAGGTAAAAAGTATACATTTCAGGTAGGGCCTGAGCAAATTTGTGTTACAAAAAGTCTTTTCAGGTGATTATGATAGGCTTACCTGATTAAAAACTGCTCTTTTAAAATATTGTCTATACTATTTAAATAAAATGTGCTTGGCAATCACATTCTCTTGTCTCAGTGAGTCAGTCACAAACAGAACTTTAAGAAATAACCTCTGACTCATGAACGTGAGTCTGTAGCAGTAAATATTCTCTGACATGGGAGTGGCTGCAGACAAGTGTATTTCTTGGATTCAAAGACACATATTTTTCATGTACTAAAATTGAGCTGTGACTTACAAACAATGTGTATATTTACAGTGCTATTGTCCTCCCACCCAAGACTATTACTAAAATAATACTGATGTGTCTTAAAACCAGTAACATCTTTGAATCAAGGAAATGTAGCATTTTATCATGTGACTATACTATAAATTTCTTATTTGTGGACATTCAGGTTATTTTTAATTTTCATATTCATGCTGGGATCCTAGAATTTTTCCTTTAGGGTAAGTTTCTAGACGTGAAACTGCTTGGTTAAATATGTGCAAATTTTAAGACTTCTGATAAGACCAACTTACTTAGAACTCTTTTGGGGGTATCTGCTGCTTTGGCTTATATTCATTTTCTTTGTTTTTCTGTTGCTAACTCTAGTTCAGTAAAACGATGAATTTAATTCAAGTTCTTCTTCGTCTCTAATAGGCTTTTTGATAACCACTTTTATTTCATTGCTACTTTGTCATGACTAGTTATCAGCTTTGAAGAAACTAGCCATCATTCATTATTGTATATTATTCACTCTATTATGGAGACATTTATCATAATATAAAAATTTCTTTTGTTCTTAAAATTCTGTATTTCACACAGTTAACATCACTCTTAATCATAAAAGACTAAATGTGTTCCCGTTAAGCTTAGCAATAAGGGTGTCTGCTCCCACCACTTCTACTCAACATTGTATTGAAGGTAAAGTAAATAGGGCAATTAGGTAAGAAAATGAAGTAAAAGGCATTTAGATGGAAAGAAAGAAGGAAGTCTGTCTCTAGTCACAGGTGGCGTGATCTTGTGTAGAGGAAAACCTAGGGACTCTACACACAAAAATATGGTACCTAAAAAAAAATGAATTAGCAGGGTTGCAGGATACGAGATAAACATACAAAAGTCACTTGTATTTCCAGCAGTGACCATCCCCAAATGAAATTAGGATAACAATTCTATTTATAATCTCATTAAAAAGAAAATAATAGGAATAAACTTAAAGCATGAAATTATATACTGAAAACTAAAAGAATTTTGAAAAAAAAAAGAAGGTCTGAGTAAATGGAACATCATGGGTTGAAAGACTTCATATTGTTAAGATGGCAGCGCTCTTCAAATTGCTCTACAAATCTAATCCAGCTCCTAACACAATCTTAGCTGGCTTTTATTATTATTTTTAGTTTTTGCAGAAATTGACAAGTCGATCCCAAAATTGATGCACAAATGCAAGGAACTCAGAGTAGCTAATACATCATTTAAAAAAAATAGGTCAAAGTTGGAGGATTTACACTTTCCCATTCCCAAACTTATTACAAACTGCATGATTAAGACAGTGTGGTACTGACATAAAGATAGCGGCATAGATCAATGGATGTAACAGAGAGTCCAAAAATAAACCTTTACATTTATGACACATTGATTTTCAACTATGGCACCAAAATGGTAACTCATAACTCAACAACTAAAAGATAAATAACCTAGGAAAAAAAGTGGGTAAAGGATTGGAATAGACATTTACCCGGGGAAGATACACAAGTGGCCAACAGGCATTTGAAATAAGCATAATAAGCATGTGAAAAGTTGCTCAACATCATTTGTCAGTAGAGGAATGCAAATTAAAACCACAGACACTTCTTCACACCCAGTAGGATGCCTACAAAGACAGTAACAAGTATTGCTGAGGATGTGGAGACACTGGCACCTTCGTTAGTTGCTGGTGAGAACGTAAAGTGGTGCAACCACTTTGAGGAACAGTCTGGCAGTTCCTCAAAATACTGCACATGGAATTACCATGTCACCCAGAATAGGCAAATACATACAGACAGAAAGTAGATGAGTCATTGCCAGGGCCTAGGAGTGGGAGGGGGTGGCAGGTGACTTGCAGTGGGTGTGGTACTTCTTTTTGAGGTGATGGAAATGTTCTAAAATTGGATGATGGTGATGGTTGTACAACTCTATGAAGGTACTAAAACAATGAATTGTATACTTTTAAAGTGTTAAGTTTATGGCACGTGAATTATGTATCAATAAAGCTATTATTTAAAAACAATATAGTGTGTGCTAAAGAACCTAAGTGAGGTCTTAATTGTGCTAATCAGCCGTTGTCTTTAGTGGAGACCATGGCAAATAGATGGCACATGCCATGTGATACCTGCCTTCTTTGCAAATGGGGCATAACACCAATTGTTCATGGCTGCTTTTTCTCTGAGTCCAAGAGTGGCTTTAGGATACTTCTCAAAACAGTGCTTCCAGTAACTCCTGGAAATAGACTGGCAAAGATCAGATGAAAGACAGCATGGTGTTTCAGGAGACTACTAATAGTTCCCTGGTGTTGATGGATACAGCAAGACAAGGCTAGAGATCTCTCTCTTCTCCAGGTTAGGGGTTTGAGGAGACCACTCTATGTCAGTGGAAGAGCTGGGGAGAGCCTGGGCCCACCTGGTGTGCCACATAGAGTGCAGTCAGGCTGGAGAGGTATGTGGAAGGAAGCACAGCAGTTGGAAGAAGGAGTCATGGTGTTGCTTATAGACGATGGCGGTGGGATGCGTAGAGAATGGGGCCATCGGCGGACTGAGGCCAGCTTTGGGATGACTGGATAAAGAGGGGTGCATGACATCCGAAAACCAGCCGTGACACTCCTGGAATGTGGTGCTCAGGAAGCCAGAGGATGGGGAGCTAGAAAGAGGGCCCGGTGTACGATTGTGATGCACCGGGGAATGGGAAGTTTCTTGAGATAGTCCACCGTACTTGAGAATAGTTTTAGTCAAGTGTTGATGGAAGGAAACTGGGGCAAATCGAGAAGTAAACTGGATGAGAAAGGTTTCCGATGGTGCAGAGGACAGACTAAGGGGGGAGAAGACTTCATGTGCTTAGTGGGAAGTGGCTTGTGGGGCCAAGGAGGCTCATGACTCGGGGAGAGCACACCATGTAGCTGAAGAGAGTTGGCAGAGGAGCCGGTACGGAGGGAGACACAGGACGTCAGGTTGGTTTTCAGTGGGAAAGAGACTAGAAGCATCCATGTTTGTCATGCCTGTGAAGGGCTTTTCAAATAGGACACTTGAGAAAAATGCTGTTCCAGTAAATACAAGAAACATTCTCCAGCAGCACACTTAATTCGGTATATTAGTTATAGAAAAAACAAAAAAACTGAAATAAACAAGATTATTGTGCTTTCAGTGGAAATTCATAGTGTTCTGTTATTTATAGTTTAGACTGAAGCAAGTCATCAGTAATAAGACTATTGGGGAGGTTTCTTTATTTAACTATGGTGAGATTGGCATGAAGAATATTCCTGTAACATGTCAGAAAACATGCAGCCTTTAAAAATTAGCTTCGTATTAGTGGTATAATGGGCTTCACAATAAATTACGAGGATATAAAAGTTTTTTTCTAGAGAGCATCATATTAATAGTAGTCAGATTTTTACTTAAAAAGTGAGATGAAGGCACTATAGTTGTTCATTCCACTGCAGTTATATAATAATGCACTATGTAAGTAAATTGATAAATATGGTTATTTTATCTAGAAATTGTTTTGTCTTCCTAAATACTTTTATTCTGTAAGAAAAATTTAAGTGCAGAAATGAAGTATACGATTTTTATGTTGGTCATTGTAAATTTTGTATTTGAATTTGCCAATATTCTAAATATAATTCATGGGTTTATTGAAGATTGTTAATTTCTTTCTTTGGGTTTCTAGATACGTTCCTCTTTTTTTTTTTCTTTTCTTTTTTTGAGGTGGAGTCTTGCTCTGTCGCCAGGCTGGAGTATGCAGTGGTGCCATCTTGGCTCACTGCAGCCTCTGACTTCCTGGTTCAAGCGATTCTCCTGCCTCAGCCTCCTGAGTAGCTGGAATTATAGGTGTGAGCCACTGCACCCAGCCTGTTACTAGGTGTTTTCTGATGTTTAGCTTGAAGTACATATTAGGAGATCAATTAACAATTTTGGGAGGATACCAAGAGTTGTAAATTTTTTGCAGTAATTACTTTTGTAATATTTCATTGTTACTTTTTGGCTTTTTTGGTTTTCATTTTATGTTTTAGAGAGTGATATAAATCGAAGGAAAAAAGTTAAACTAGGTAACAAATAATTTTTTGTGTTAAAGTTTAGTTTTCTAAAATACCTTATTTTATTTTGTTTTATAGGGATTTGTTTTGGCTGTTACTATGATGCGGGAAGCAATTGACGAATTTCGGCGTTTTCAACGTGACAGGGAAGTGAATTCCCAGCTATATAGCAAGCTTACAGTAAGAGGTCAGCAAGATGCTTTAATCCTACTTAGCGTTTGCCTACTGTAATCATTTCAGAGTTAACAAGTATATGAAACCATTTTAATTCTATTATTGAAAATAGTATTATGCGACTGTATATTGATATTTAATTAATTTCCTTATAATGTATAGTGTGCAGGCAATTTTAGGGGAGATTTTTCTTCATTCTCTGGATGTTTGCGTGTATATTGTGCACACATACATACAAATGCATACACATATTGTTAATCATTATACAATGTGCTCTATTGATATATACACGTTTTCTGAGAAGCGTAATGCCACTTTATCTAAAGTCTATCTTGGTACTATATTTTCAACACACTTAAAAAGTCAAACATCTATACCGTGGCTTTAACCTAAACTTAAGTACAAAGGCCTTTGAACAACAGAAATAAATATTGTCATCTAAGATGGTAACCGATGCGTGCATGTTTCTCCTTAACCTTCATTCAGGCCTTAACTCTCACTTAACTTAGAGCCTTCAAGCACTTGTTTAGCTGATGTTTCAGTCGATAGTAGAGAAAGAAGCAATGTATGAAGAAGAGAGTTGGGGAAATGATTACAAGTAGGTGTAAGACAATTAAAAAGTGACTGAAAACCTTAGGAACGAGGGAGACACCCGGAAAACTAGGTGGGTATTCATAATAACCCCAAAGTCTGTTGAAAAGCTTACAGTGGATTTTTTCATCTTCTATATGTAAGAGGATATTTACAATGAATTATTTAACTTATGAAATAGTACCTTCAAGAATTACTTATTTTTAACACCTTATTGGGCTGTATTTCCCATAACAAAATGTGTCCATGTAAAGTCTACAGTTCAGCGTTTTTTGGTGTATTCATAAAGTTGTATAGCCATCACCATCACTTAAGCCATTTAAGAGTAGTACGCTTTTGACGTTCCCAGGAGGAGCCCTGAGTACATTAGAAGTCGGTACTCTTGCTGCTTCCCTCCCCACCCTGCCCCAGCCCCAGGTGGCCACTGTTCTCCTTTCTGGCCCCGTGTGGTTTTGCCCACTCTGGACATTTTATCAGTGGAATTGTGCAGTATGTGGTCTTTTGTCACCAGCTTCTTTCACTGGGCTTGTTTTCAAGGTTCATCTTTTAGTAGCATTCATCAGCGCTTTATTTCTCTTGGCTGCTCAGTAATATTCCAGTGTGCGATACAGCACATTTTGTGTGTACATTCATTAGTGGATGGACATTTGGGGTTGTTTCCACTTTGTGACTGTTGTGAATAATGCAGCTATGGATATCTGTGTACAAACGTCCGTATGAATTTTGTTTTCGTCTTGGGTACATACCTGGGAGTGAAATTCCTGGATTATTTGGTAACTCTGTGGTTAGCATTATAAAGAATTGTCAGCCTGCAATCTTCCTAGTTTGCAGCTTATTCCAAAAGAATTGTGTCTGTCTCTAACCAGTCTAGGGACTGCTTGGAGGATTGACCCTAGGTGCTTGTCTTTTGTTCCCCTAACAGGAACTCAGGACAGAAAAGCAGAAATGTAGCGGCATTTCTCAAACATATGCAAGGCTGATGAACAGCCTCCAGTAGCCTAGGGCAAAAGATGGCAGTGGAGCCAGACGGTAGAGTGTCAGATCCAGGCAGAAGAAGCTGGGGAGGGAGCTTCTTTGGGAAATTTGAATATTTAGAAGTGCCCCTGTGTATGCAGTGGAACTGTGAAAGCTAAGAACTGGAGGAATGCTCAGAAAGACCTGAAGTCCTTCCCTCCAGCCAGTCTCCAGGCTCAGCGCAAGCAGGGAGGGAAGGCGGCAGCAGGGCTGTGAGTGGCCTGGCTGAATCCTCAAGAAGGCTGCAGCACAGAGCCCGGCTGCAAAGCCCAGGGCAGGTTTTGTTTGGGTTTGTTTCTTCCTCCCCCTTCCCCTCTTTTTTCTCTCTTCATATTGAAGGAAATCTTTGTCAAAACACTGGCTCGAATATAACTGAATGGAAGAGAGACTTCAGAGACCATCCATGGTGAAGAATACACACTTTACAAAAACAGTTTAGAAAAATCAGTAAACAAACACAGCTACAGCATATAACAATAAAATCAACCAAGAAGAGGGAGAAATACCTAATTTTCAGAATTACCAGATTATAATGTATGTTCAGTTTTTTTTTTTTTACTATTTTTCTTTTTTCAGACAGAGTCTTGCTCTGTCGCCCAAGCTGGAGTGCAGTGGCGTGATCTCAGCGGCTCGTGCCCCTGGTGTATGTCCAGTTTTCCACAAAAAAGCATGACAAAGCATGCAACAAAACAAAGTGTGGCCCGTTCCGGAAGAAGGTGATAGTAGCTGCCCCTGCGGGAGGCCAGGCATCAGACTTAGGAGACAAAGTTTAACTCAGCGGTCTTTAATGTGCCAAGGCACTCAAGGAAACCATAGGGGTATTGCTTAAAAGATATCAGGAGAATGATGTAGGAACATGTAGAGAATTATTTAAAGGAAGCACACAAATTGTGGCACTCAAAAGTAGAGTAAGTGAAAACAAACACACACTAGAGGGTTTCAGTAGCGGAACTGAGCACACCAAAGAAAGAATCTGTGAACTTAAGCCTAGGTCAGTTGTACGTATCCAGTTTGAAAAGCAGAAAGAATGAAAAGAACATGAACAGCTCTTAAGAGACCTGTGGGGCAGCATCAAGCATACCACATACACATGATGGAGATGCAAGAAGGCGAGGACTGAGAGAGAAGACAGCGAAAATATGAAGGAGTAATGGCCAGAAACTTTCCACATTTGATAAAAGATAAGAATCTCTACACTGAGGAAGTACAGCAACCCCACGAAGCATAACGCCAGAAAAATCCACACTGAGACGCATAACCAAGCAGCTGACACCCAGAGACCAAGCAGACACTGAAAACAGAGAGAGAGGTAACTGGCCACATACAAGGGATCCTCAGCAGGATTTATCAGAAGCCATGGAGGTCTGAAGGCAGTGGGGTGACATTTTAAAACTGGTGAGAGGAAAAAAGCCTGTTAACTAAAAATTCTGTGTCTGGTAAAACTGTCATTCAGAAATGAAGATATTGGCTGGGCCTGGTGGCCTATGCTGTAATCCCAGCACTTCGGGAGGCTGAGGCCGGTGAATCACCTGAGGTCAGGAGTTTGAGACCAGCCTGGCCAGTGTGGTGAAACCCTCTCTCTTCTAAAAATATAAAAATTACCTGGGAACGGTGGCATGCGTCTGTAATCCCAGTTAGTTGGGAGGCTGAGGCAGGAGAATCGCTTGAACCTGGGAGGCAGAGGTTGCAGTGAGCCAGGATCTTACCACTGCACTCCAGCCTGGGTGAAAGAGTGAGACTCTGTCTCAGAAAAAAAACAAAACAAAACAATGAAGACATTCACAGATAAACAAAAGCTAGTAAGTTTTCGTGCATCTAAGGGCATTATCAAGAAAACGAAAAGACAGAATGGGAGAAAATTGGAAATCTGGTAAGGATCCAGTATCCAGAATACGTAAGGAACTCAGGATTTCAGCATCAGTAAGGTAACCCAATTAGAAAATAGGCAAAAGGCCTGAATAGACAATTCTATGACGAAGATATACAAATGGCCAGCATGCTTATGAAACAATAGTTAGTCAGCAGCCTTAGACCATAGGGGAATGCAGATCTATAGTGAGATACCACCTAACACCACTAGGTTGGCTGTAATTTAAAACATATAGAATATTGAGTGCTGCAGAGGATCTGGAGAAATTGGAATCTTTGCACATTGCTTGTGGGAACAAAATAGTTCAGCAGCTATGGAAAACACACTTTCAGTTTCTCAAATAGTTCAGAGGAATTTAAAGCAGAGACCCAAGCAGATGTTTATTTATGTTGATCATGAATAAACATTTCTGTGTTTATTCACTATTCACAATAGCCAAAAAGGTAATAATAGCCCGATGTTCACTGAAAGATGAGTGGATAAACAAATGAATGGATAGCAAATTTCTACAATGAATTTTATTCAGGCATAAAAATCATGAAGGGCTGCTACATGCTGCAGCCTGGAGTAACCTCAAAAACATCATGCTATGTGAAAGAAGCCCAGATGCAAAAGATCACATATTGTGATCTTCATTGATATGAAATCTCTAGAACTGGCAAATTACTAGAGATAGATGGCAGATTGGAGGTGCTGTGGATGAGTGGAAGAAGGAGCAGGAAGCATCTGCCTGGCAGGCATCGGGTTTCCTTTTTTCATGATGAAAATGTTTTGGGAGTTGGTAGGGTTGGTTGCACAACATTGTGAATCATTCACTTTAAAATAGCGTTTTATGTACATTAGTTTCACCCAAAAATGGTATAAAATGTTGAGGAAGACATTCTACTGTTATATCTTTTGTACTTCTGTGATACTTGAACTTTGGGTACTTTAAAAATATTTTTCAGTATGTTTATTTTAAATGTAACTGAAAATTTGCCGTTTTAACAACATTAGCCCTGGTTGCTGGTGATCTAAGTTTCACATGTCCATAATGATGATGGTATAGCTGCTTTTTTACTTCCTTGTGTGTGTCAGGTCACATTCAGAGTGCTGGTTCTCACATCTAGCATCGTGCAAGGAGGAGTCGATGTGCTCTCCAAGTTATAGATGAGAAACTTGCAGTTTATGCTGAATAACTTGCCCTGAGTCACAGTAGTTTTAGGTAGAGCTGGTGCTTGAACCTAGATCATTCTGACTCCGATCCAGTGTTCTTTCAACTGTGCTTCATGGCTGGTGGTTCTGATACAGATGTTTGATGAGTGAAATCTGTGGTATTAAAAAACGCAGGCTGAGCATGTGGCTTACACCTGTAACCCCAGCACTTTGGCAGGCCGAGGTGGGTGGATAATGAGGTCAGGAGTTCGAGACCAGCCTGATCAACATGATGAAACCCTGTCTCTACTAAAATTCCAAAAAATTATGTGGGCATGGTGACACATAGCTGTAGTCACAGCTACTTGGGAAACTGGGACAGGAGGGAGAATCACTTGAACTCG